CATGTGCAATTTTTTTCTGCAAAATTGATGCAGGGAAGCAGGGTGCTCATGACATTTGCAATCAAAAAGTTTGTCTGAGCAATGCTCATTTCAAAAGTGAGTCTCTTCAAGTACAGCAGTAGCTGAAAATGGTGAGCAGTAAATCCTGTTCGACACAAATCCTAGCCTGTATAAAAATGATTTATGTTAGTAATTTTATTTTCAGAATTTTTGTTAGACGTTATCATTCGTGATAATCACACTTCAAAAATAAAAAAATTGAGGTGCACATATTATGCAGAAATTAATCCTTTGGAAAATTTCCAGCAAAAAAAAAAAATTAGGCGTGCCTTACTTGAGAGTGTGTGCTTGTGGTGTTCAAGTAAATCAGGTGAACAAAAAAAGGGAGAAATATTGAGAAGTTTGCCAAAACAATGATTTGAAAAGATACAACAAAAAGCATTCAAGATGTCTGATAATGTTGGCCAAAAGTTAAAATTGATTCAATGTGCTGATGATTTACTGGTCTTTTAAATACGAACAAAAATGAAAAAGCCAAGATTCAAAGAGATACAGCAACAAACATACAACATGTATGATAACGTTGGTCAAAAGTTAAAATTTATTGAATGTGTTGATGATTTACTGGTCTATTAAATAATAATACAGTACAGGAATCATCAGAGGGTATCTTTATTCATATATTCGTTGGACTGGAATTCTGTTCGAGCGTAAACGAGCCTAATTAAATACAGTATGTTCCATTCATCGACAGCCGTACTTTGAAATATCAGTCGATCACGCAGGAAGCTCGTGTGGTTGGGATGCACCCAGCATGCTATTTATTGAGCCTTTTTACAAGCATTGAATGGCCTCCCACGTGGGTCTGTTTTGAGAATTAGAGAGTCCATCTGCATTTACCTGAGTACCATGTGCAATTTTTTTCTGCAAAATTGATGCAGGGAAGCAGGGTGCTCATGACATTTGCAATCAAAAAGTTTGTCTGAGCAATGCTCATTTCAAAAGTAAGTCTCTTCAAGTACAGCAGTAGCTGAAAATGGTGAGCAGTAAATCCTGTTCAACACAAATCCTAGCCTGTATAAAAATGATTTATGTTAGTAATTTTATTTTCAGAATTTTTGTTAGACGATAAAATTCGTGATAATCGCACTTCAAAAATCAAAAATTGCGGTGCATATATTATGCGGAAATGAATGTTTTGACAAATTTCCAGCAAAAAAATGAGGCGTGCCTTACTTGAGAAAGTGTGCTTGCGGTGTTCAAGTAAATCAGGAGAACAAAAAAAGGGGAAAATATTGAGAAGTTTGCCAAAACAATGATTTGAGAAGATACAACAAAAAGCATTAAAGATGTCTGATAATGTTGGCCAAAAGTTAATATGGATTGAATGTGCTGACAAGAATGAAAAAACCAAAATCAAAAAGGTACAGCAAAAAGCATTCAACATTTATGATAACGTTGGTCAGAAGTTAAAATTTATTGAATGTGTTGATGATTTACTGCTCTATTAAACAATAATACAGTACAGGAATCATCAGAGGGTATCTCATTCATATATTCGTTGGACTGGAATTCTGTTCGAGCGTAAACGAGCCTGATTAAATTAATACAGTATGTTCCATTCATCGGGTCGGCATGAAACTTTATAGTCAGCTAGTGCGTCCTTCGAGCACACCAACCCTACGTGGGTCGTACGATAAATAACTCGGAAAAATGTTCGTAACTTACCGGAGGGTGCACCCAGACAAAACTCTTAAGGAGGGATTCGGCTGATGCAATAACCGTCTTGTTTTCATCAGTCAACTCAGCTTATGCATGGTCCTGTATCCTGGTTCGTGGGGCCACGAACCCCTTCTGTAAATAATTAAAACAAAAACAGGCGTCATTCTAAACAAATCCCTGCCTTCGAGAAGAGAAATATTTTAAAAAACTGAGAAACGAACAGCTAAGCTCATCATCCTTGCGTAACGACTTGAAAAGACTAGAATTGACTGTCGAATGATAATGAAACTTTTGGTGCATGGATTTATGCCCAAGTTTGGAAACATGCAAGTAAGGTATGTACCTATACATTCCAATATGCAAAAATATCCCACGAAGGTATTTGAACGAACCGCAGCATGGAGTTGGAGAAAACTCTGATCTGTACTCATCGTTGGAAGGGGGCTCTTCAGAAAAAATCTGGGTACGATTTACAATTGAAGTTTTACCGTTTCGGCTGGAAATTGAGTATGGTAACGAATACGCTTTAGCTCACATAAAATGAATTTTTTCTTCAAGTTTTCGCATTTTCGAAAAAGATTCAACAAGGTTGTGGCACAGAGACAAGCCATTAGAAATAACAATTTCGGAAAAGCGAGTATGTTGGTGAAAAATACACGTTTCATTGGTCAGACTCCATTTTCACGTGGTATTCTTCAATGGCAGGAGAGCCAAACATGATCATCCAGAATGGCATTTCATCATTTTTGCAACAATTTTTCAGGGATGGCGCGTAAAAAATTGCATCAACTTTAAAGAAAGGCTGTTTAGATAATTTGAAACCAAAAGGAATCCCCCTTGAATTAATAAATTTTAAAACCTTCAAAAATTAAATAAAAATGGAGGAAAAATTTTCAGATAAGAAGAAATACTCTGCCATGGATGCTTCAAGCTTGACCATGAATTTAGAAAAAGCTGACTGAACAAGGAAACACAAGAAACCAAGCACCCAAATTATAATAGAAACTCCTACCAACAAGACAGAAATAAAAAGTTTATATACTGTATATCCTTGTACTGTATGTATTTTAAAGAGGGACAAGAATGTAAAAACGAATCACTCTCAAACAGAATGAAATGAAAATTGTTCAACCATCAGAGAACAAATTCAGTCATTAATGCCTCAATTCAAAATGAAGTTTGAAACAAAGATTCACCTGGTATCTGCTGCAAAAAAAACGAGCACAAATCAGACCTTGAGGTATAGTACATACTGGTGCATCCAGTACGCATACATACCTGTACTGAATTATAGAAAACTGTAATTAGTCTTAGACAGTATTACTAGAAAATACAGTACAGAATGCTGTTGGCCAATGCTGCAAGGCGATGCCTCTGAGGTTGCTCTTTGATAGTCGAGAGAAAGTTAGTCAAATATGGCAGCATGCTTGGCTCCGTTACGCAGTTCGCAGGGATTTCGAATGATAATTGTTCGAATGCTTCCTCGGAGATGAATCCACGAATGTTCGATTAGTGCTTTAATTCTAAAACTCAGCGTTGGTCGAAGTAAGCTAATTGCTTTGCATGATCGTACGAATGGGTTTCAATTGTTTATTAAAAGCCGATGTGTTTCTTTTAGTTAACCGACGGTTGGACGGTATCACTTCATTTGTGAACTATTATCGTGATATCACGCACTGATTGGGGCGCTGAAGTTTTTCGAACCTATTAGGATTCAATACTGTGATGCAATATTCCGCCGCCTTTTCGAGGTCGAGGTCCTTGATGTATTTATGTTTGACACGTCTCCAGGCAGTTGGGAAATGTCGTTTAAAATCGTTTTGGATGTGATTTTAGTCGGGTTCCAGTTGTGCACCGTCATTGGGGTCATTCTATTTGGTTGGTACCTCGTTTGGTTTATGTTTTTATCTCGATTCAAGTTCGTTCGGGAGATTTTTTCAAATCCTGGAGGAAGCTCGGAAGTTGTGAAGAAGTCCGATGTGACCGGTATGAGGATTGCTCGCATACGAACGAGAAGGGAACTTTCAGAACGGTAATTCACTCTTGGATTTTAGCGAACGTTCGTGGTCGATTTCATATAGGTTGAGAACCTGATATCATGTGGATAGCTTACATATTTTAAATTGTGTTTTACTCTCAATGTTGATCCTTACGAGAAGAGCTAAGCGTTTACATTCTGCGTAGTCCTTATAAGAAAGATTTCTGACAGTTTACCTTTTCGCAGATGAATGAAAATGAGACCATCCGTGAAACTTCAGATCTTCATCGATGCTGCTAGTGAGAAGTGCTGCAAGATCTGTGATTAATTCGGGATTTCGACTTCTTGTTCTTGTTCGAATCTTGGCATTTACATATTCGCAAACAATTATGTTCAGAGTGGTGATTCAAGGTTCAGTCGCTTCCATCCACGTTGAGGTCGCCGGAGGGAATGGAGATATATTATTTTAACAAAATATTTAATGGGTAACATTTGTACTGTATGGGCGATTGGCCTTTTCCTCCGAGGAAAGCCGTCGTCTTGTATATGAATATCTTTGTTATGAGGACTGTTATTGCCATGCGGACAAAATATATTCATGAATTGGAACTTTCATTAAGAGGTTATCTATTAATGCGTTGAAGCGATGTTAAACTCAATGTTTGAGTTGGTTTCTCGAATAGCGTGCCGCAGCGGGGTTGGATTCCATAAGACATGCTCCGAAACCAGGTGTTTCGTGTTCAGCAGATAAATGCCTGTGCATATTTTTCGTCAGATAAACGTTTGCGTTACCAAAAAAACGGTGTAAGGATCTTATCTTGAAGATGGATTTTTCCATCTTGAGAACAACGCTGTTCTATAGAGTTCATTCATCCGCCATTAAAAGCCTTATGTGCTCATATACCGGGTTTATGACTACGCTCCTTATTCTCAAGAATGTTCAGGATCTTCTGAAAATAGCGTGAGATCTTGCTATTTGCACGAAGCTAGTGCAACTGTTCGCTCAAATATTGTATAATATGATATTTGACAGATGGCCGCGTATGCGTGAAGCAATAGGATTTTGTCATCTTCCAATCTTATTCCAGAGAGTGCGGCCCTCCACCCTGAATCCTTTGGTATATGATACGCCTATAACGCTGTATTTTTCTAATCGAAAATGTTATCTTCCAGGATGGTGCCGTTTTCTACTCTTTACGATATGTGTCGGAGATCAGTGTATTTTTTTTTAAAGAAAAGTTTATATAGTACAGGTACTTATATCTGTGGTCGTGGCTTCTGAAAAGGAGTGAATGAGTGCTATCAGCATGGTGAGTCCCGTTTTATTGAGATTAGTCCACGGGTACCCTGTTCCGATCCAGTACCCCGTAGTTCAAGGGATTCGCTTGGCGCGGGTTAGATCATGGGTGAACTTACGTATAGTAACCAATGAAGAAACCATGCTTCGCTTTTCAATTGGAACTCGATTTGGATAAATTGGGGCGTCGTTCGTTTCGAGGAGGGAAGAAGAAAAACGGGAAATGGATTTAGAATAACAGTAACACAGATCGCAGAAACGGAATGACCATTAAAAAAATTGTTCGGAAAGGATCAGGCGGTGCTCATTTGTCTGAACCACTGACGTTGATCGGGTCGCGAGGCGTCGCCCTCGTCACGACACTGTCCAACTCAGTTACCCGCGTGACAGGGTCAGCACCCGGAACCCTTCCGTACCAGCCGGGTGCGGGTCGCGGGAAGTAGTTTGTGATTGCCTTGTCAGCATTTTCGCGAACAATCGTCGGGAACGTTGAAAGAACCTTTTCAGCTGCCACACTGGCTGCTGCGGGAAGTTTCAGGACACCGGTAGGAGAAACGTCGCCGCTTGCTGTTGGTTTTCCATCGCCAGGCAAAGCGTTAGGGTCTTCGTCGGAGGAGATGCACCATTCGTACGTTTCTTGCTTTCTGCCGGCTCGTGGGAATTGTTGACCCCTTGAAAACACGAGAAAAGAAATTCTGATCACCCGATCCACTCGAGTACAATTTGTCATCGAGTTGTCACGCACACCCTGTTTCTTTTTTTTGTGCTTGAAATCTTTGCGAATAGTTATCTCCGCCTAAAAGGCGCAACCAAGTTTAACATGGTCGACATTTTTTCCTGCTATGATATTCAGAAAATTAGGATCCCAATAGTAGAATAGGAGAGCATTTCAACTGGATTTGAACCTAGCGGAACTCCCTGTTCATCATTGGCGCCTACCGAATTATCACCATATTATCACTTATTTTCAAATTAGGAATGAGCTTTAGACTTCTCATTGATAACTTAAATTTACTACAAGTAAAATCGAGGCATCTTACCGAACATATCCAGCAGCTGTGTCAAACCCAGGCAAGAACTTAGACAATCCCAGAGACGCTGAAGCTGTCGCGACACTAGCTGCATCACCTGCACCTGCTGCGTTTGATTTCGATGGAATCTTATCTCCACGTGAAGAATAGTCAGGAAGATCCAATTCAGCAGGCAAAGACAAAACTTGATTCACCCAAGGTGACTCCAATCGAGTGTGTTGCACGTAAAGACGGACTCGCAATTGAGTATCGGCTCTGTATGCTTGGATGTCAACTGGAGGAGGTTCGTCCGAGTTCAAGGACGCAATTTGAACAGCGTCATCTCTGAAGAGACGAATAATACTGATCACGCAACGCGGAAAACCATTTAAAAATTGCGGAAAACGCTCCTCGTCTGTGATTTTGGGATTCTTATTCGCTTCAAGAGTTCATAGGTGTCGCACGTATGCGTATTTGGTCGGTCAGCGCACCGTCAAGATTGCATCGATTTATGTTCGTTAGGTTGTACTGTGCAGTCAAACCTTTTCAAGTCAAAGGATAAGGGTAACAAAATTCGCGGCAGGGAAGCAAGCATTCATGATGGGGGAAAGATGTATGAATTACGGGTTGTTGTAAATCTAGGCTTCGAATTGTTACTCACATGAGTTAACATGATGCTGAACTTGGAAGCAAGGGTTCATTAGCCTAATTGGTTTTGAACTTCATTTCAAAATTCATCAACTTACATTCTTATTCATTTTTTCGTGTGTCAATAAAATAAAAGCCAGAAGACCCAAAAACTGAAGTTATGGAGTGTTGAAAGTGGAAGTCTTTGAATTAGGGATTGTTTTAATGCATTTACAGTATTCAGGCAGGGATTTGACTTTGGCATGTATTCTACTTATAAGAGACTTTATCTCTATTTACCAAGGTTGTTGTTGAGAACCCTCTAGCATGGGAAATGAACCCTATAAAAATAAGTTTGTTATACAGAGATAATCTTTAAAAAATATTGTAACAGAGTCCATCTGTGTTAAGTGAGATTCGACGCGCGTGACACCTACCTAATCTTGAAGAAAGCATGGAAAACCAATTTTGAATCGAGCTTGTTTTCTGCCGCGTATGTTAACCTGGATCGAATGATTTGTTTTAAAAATGCTCACCGGAACTCAGAATGCAAAGGCATGATGTCATCCTTGAGCCAAGCAGACATGGCTCTCGAAACAGGTATTCCTAGAAGCAATTCCAGCTGACAAATGATCTCATAGATTGCGGCCATGTCCAATTCTGTGAAAGGACAATTGAATGGGTCCGTCTTTCTCAATCGCCTAGCGAATGTTTGCAAGTCCCTCATGCTCTGGAGAGTCACGAACAATGGCTCTTCGTGTGCGGGATGATATAAAAAGTAGATCAAGTCTTCTCGGCTGACGATTTGTTTGGGGGATCCCTCCAAGAGTCGCTCCACCAATTGTTTCAGCACTCCGGCAAATTTTAAATTGGCCGAAACGAGAACGTGGTCGAAGGTGCGGAGAACCTTTTGATCGCCTTCTTCACTCACGCCAGCGTCGACGATTTGATTAGTCCAACACACGACGGTGAAGCCCAAAAGAAGCATGAAGATTTCCAAGTGTTCCACCATGAATCGGTCATTGTCTCGAATGTAGAGCGGTTTCTTTTGGAGGAGAGCTACTTTTCTCGACTGCTGGCCTATCCGAAACAGGTAGTTAAATGACTACATACTGTTATCAAAGTACGACTAGAGCGAAAACGGCACTTGATAAGGCCTAAAGTCTTCCAACTAGTCTGGCAACTGCGTCGGTTTCTTAGCCAAGTTCATTCTGTGCAACGCATCTGCTGCTGATTTCTCCTCCTTCAAAAAACGAAATTTTCGGGGAATCGTGTTAACTGATTTGAAATCTGTCATGTGAATTAAACTGTGGATCAAACAATTTTGGACCAATTCATGTGTATTGTAAAAGAAAGAAACCTCAACTTTAATTTTACAGTCGAACTTGAACGGACCAGAAAAAAATTTGAGTCATCGAAACGAGCATTTTGTTAAGAGGGAAAGAAACCAGATTTGAAGGCATTTCAAGTGTTCCTTAAATTATTTGATAGGATGCTGAGTTAAAGCCAAGCGTTTATTTGCCGAATTAGTTTTTAACTTTCTTTCAAAATACTGCACATCAAGCTACATTTTTATTACTCGTTTCTTTCCCGTGTCAGTAAAATCAGTCAAAAGGCCTCCAGAAAATTCAACGTTTGTAAATTTGATGGGGAAATCCTTTGAACGAGGGTTATTTAAAATGTATCGCTTTAAAGGAAATTTAGCGACTTGAAAAAATTGGGAGTTATCAAGTTTCAACCTTAGTAGCTTTCATTTTATTTTTTTCATTCACTGCACAGATAATTTGACCGATTAAATAACTTACTCAGGAAGAATTCGACTCAAGTATGCAAATATGGAGAAAATTGCATTCCAGCTGCAAGTATGAAAGCTGGAAAACTGATTTTGGCCTGAGGAATCTTAACTTTGCAGACCCAAAATTATTATCGTTCACAACAAACCAAAATTTGATTTTTAATGCCATTTCGAATTCCAGAAATGGCATTTTTTCGGTTGGATTAATTTTTTTGCAATAAATTTTTCGAAGAAGGAAAGTTACCTACCGAGTCAAACGAGCTTTTTCTGATTTCGTTAAATGCTCGGATTTCATTTAAAAGAACAAATTCGCTGCCATCAATGGCAATAATCGATAACTGCTGAAAATATGAGACATACAGTAATTCATAACAGTTGAAGAACCCTCCATTCAATTCTCAACTTCGATCTATAGCCTTTAAAGTTTTTACAAAAAGTAATTTTATTTTGGAAATTGGCCCAAAATTTGCTCGACTTTCTTGCTTGGAAAGTTAATGAGTTCATTGTAGATCTCTGGATTCCTTGCGGTAATCTTCGGAGGGCTGAACAATATAATTGAAGAAAATAGATTTTGCCGTGCAAAAGTTGAAGGATTACATTTGTATCATTGTCGTTGTGCTCTCCGGGTGCTCCGAATTTGCAAGCACATGCTTCGTCGGATTTCTGGAACAAAGGTCCAAGTCTGATGGCTTCCTCTAAGGTTCCCCACCATTGATCAGAACTTGGAGAAGTCCAGTCGGACTGATTGCCTTCAACCAAGTCCTCATCAGGCAACAGATCAGCTGGCGTTTCCAAACCGGAAGCCGCGTGCAGACCTGAGATGAAAATGTATTCCTTGTATATCATAAACGCACCACTTTAGCCGACGAAAAGCAATAGTAATACCCAAGCATAACCCTCTGAGAATGTATAGTTGTGTGTAGACCATCCAATCGTTGAACATGAGACGATGTTCCCGCTTCAGCACCACTTCCGGTCGTACCAAAAACGCATGTGCACTTTGACTTTCTACTAGCACCTTGAAAATAATGGTTAGATTCTTTGTTTTCGGATGTGAACGAAAAATTCCTCGTCTGCGTCCACGATTTCCGTGGGTTTATTTGTCCAATCATTTCAATATACATCAGGTTACATTTTTCTTGTTTTTTTTTTAAATCTTTCCTGTGCATTCAGAAAATTTGAGTTTTAGAGGTTTTTAATACTGTACATGTATTCTAAGGCAACACAGACGGGCTTCAAAAAATTATTTGAATTAAGGAGGTATTCAGCTTGAAGAAGTTCAACCAGAAAATTTTCTCGCGCATCACCCCTCGCGAATTAATTGTGTTTCTTACTTGCTGGGCGAAATTTCGTGCTGTGATTTCTTTTAATGAGGATGAGTATGTTTCTTTTAGAGGCTATTATTGTTACTGTAAAAGGATTCCAAAGACGTGATGGAATTTCCGCTTTTCCAGTTAGTGCAGCCTAATTGGGCGACATCTATCTGACTTTCAATAAGAGTAAGATTCTATTTTTCTCGCCAACCTGGAAATTTGAATCGCAAATGTGGTGCATTTGGTTTTCATTGAAACATCCCGCGATGTGGATCTGAGGCTTGAACGGAATGTACAGAAGCGGCATGTGGTCACCGCTGAACTCGTTGATGATGACCTGCATTCCAAAAAAAAAAAAAATTTACAGAATACCTCAGCGTGACTCCAAAAAAAAGAAAAAGACAAAGTGAGTTAACGATTGCAAAAATGGTTGCAGCTTGCCTGGAAGATGCACTTCATGACCCGAGTGCAATTCTTGGTCTCGTACAAATCCATCTCTCCCGAGTAGATTTTCTGCACGGCGCCATCGCCGATGCCGAGCAAAGCAACTTGCTGAGTCGGCTTTTTATACACGTCTTCGAATGGCAAGGCGCCTCTGCCAACAACCATACCGCCGCCGGATGGACAATCTTGCAGTATCTCCGCCGTCCCCATGCTCTGTTTCACAACCACGCTGAGTCGGAAATTCGGCCGCCATTTCTCGAGGATTTCGTCCAAAGCTGCTGTAGTGCACCTGTACGCTCCGTCAAAGTACCTGGAGTGGGGGATAAAAAAGGGAGAATTATAATTTTAAAAGGAAGAAAGAGGGAAAATATGCAGAAATATTCGGAAGCAGGAAATCGATACCCGCCACTAGCAAGAAGAACCCGTCTGAAACGCCTCGGATTGCCTTAAAAGGGTTGTGAATTCACCCAAAATACGAGGGTTGGGTCATACGGTGTTGTAGTCTATCCTTCGTATGTTCAAGCTACTGTATTTATTTTCTCATTTAACTTTTATAATTTCCTGATCTGAGCTTAAACGTCTAGTCGGAGGTGGAAAACAATTGCATTTTCAACGTTTAGGTAAAGAAATTACCTGCCGTATTTTTATGTTATCCAAATTTGGCTGTCGTCTTACGTACTTGACCAAATAGCACACAACACATGCTTGAAAATGTCTCAAATCAGAGAAACAGAACTTAAATTCATCTGCATTTAGAGTGTGATACTGTAAAACTTAAATTCGATGACTCAGACCTCCCTATGTACGGTATAATATTCTTCAAGTTCCTGCCTGGGTTTCCCTAGAAACAATGCATGAAAAGCATCCTTAAATCGAAGGCTTTCCTCGTCAAACCTCCATAACTCTAATTTTCTGTAGGCCTTATGGTTATTTTATTGACACAGGGAAGAAAAATGTAACGAAGTTTTCAGAAAGGAAGTACTGTACAGTATAAGTCTCATGGGAAAGATTTAACCATTGCCTCCATGTTCAGCATCCGGTCAAATCATTCAAGAAGCATTCAAAGGCCCAGAATATCACCAATTGCAATTTCATGGAAATATCCTTCTTCCCCTACAAAAATTTCCTGTTTCCATGACTATGATCCATCCGCCTTGATTCGAATTATTTTTGCTGGTCTAACTTAGTTTGGATTCTTCGGTATTTTCGGCAATAATCTGTTCCTGCGAACCTCGGTCCTTTATCCTTCGTTTTTCATGGACATTTAAACTAATTTCTAGAAACAATTTTTGAACATTTTGTAACATCAATTTTCAACAAAAAAAGAAACAATAGTTAATACAACCTGAACTAAAAACTAAACTGTCGTAACGTGACCTGACCAAACCAAAAATATAGCCTATCCGAGACTAAAACTAAGCAAAAATGAAATAACCTGAACTAACAGCTTTTCACTGGTAACCCATCGACATTCCCCCTTGGTTTAACTTGAAGGTTCGACAGTACCTCCGTATCGGTGCTGTGTTGAGATTGTTGATCTTGAATTCAGTCTCCTTGCGTTGAAGCGGTGCGCATCCGAGTCGCAAGTACAAGCTCTTGTCTGGTCCGATGAGAATGTCCGAGGCCTCGTCGATTGTCCGCAGTCGGATGATGGCGAAGTTGAAGTTGATGATCTTGCTGGGAGCCCTGCCTCGTGCGGGCCAAGAGTAGTCTGGGTTTCGAAACTTACGTTCGATGTTGAGCCTGTGCTGCAATTGAGTCCCTGCGAATTGACATTGTAAGCGTCGAACAAAGAAAATGATGGCGCAAAATCATGTGCGCAAAAATCGGTTCTTCGCGGCAAGTCTATTTACAGAATATTCTGCGCATCGAAACCTTTCAGAATCAGGCATGAATACTGTACAGTATGTCAGTCCACTCAATGGAAGGACCTTCAAATCAATTGGATGGTGTACTGTAGTCACATTTTTTTTAAGACAAAAATAAAAGACGAGATTCTCGTGGAAAAACGCGGTACGGAAGCTGTCGACTTGTCCATCAACTGCAATTTATATTATTTTTACGCGCGAGATCTTTGAATTTTTCAAGATGAAGAACCGTGAAATTTACGAGGATGCAATACAGTAAGAAGATTCCCCGCATAACGAAATATATCAGACAAGGAAGATTACGCATAGCGAAAATTCTTATCGGGGAAATGTTACTCGCATAACGAAAAATGTGGCTGGAAGAAGCTCGAATATCGGGAAGTTTTGGACTAGAATAATTTTTTTAATGAAATGGAGAAAAATCATGAAAAAAGGCTTAAGTCTTGCCTCACCCGAATGTTACACATTTCAATTTTAAATGCGAAAATGTATGCCGCAGAGTGAGCGTAATAAAATGCAGTTATGGGCTATTGGTTCGTTTATGGAATGCTTTAATTAATGAAAGATTTAGCCTTTGGAAAATTCGCGTTTCGCTTTAAGGCAATTCCGCTTGACAACACGCATTCAGGAACACATCCGTTTTTGGGGGGTCCGCTGTAACGGGGATAAATCTATTCAGACAGGGTCATTATTTGCCGACATCTATGTTCGTGAAAACGAACTGCTGTACCTTCTCGCCATCATGCGTACGGTACAGTAAAATACTGTACTGTAATTTGTGATTGGAAGAAGGCACAGTGATAAGGTATTTTTATTCTCGTATAAGTCGCCAGTGGATGAGTCCTGCGTTTCGAGTTAACTGAGTGCGAAAAATGAGTTTGCTTCTGTTAGCAGCGCGAAATTAAAATCATACTTGATTGTGAGTATTGGAGCGTCATCTAAAGCACGTATTACAAAGTTTTCATTGAGGTGAATTGAATGTGCATAGGTGACACTGTCGTTCATTGGGGGCTTCAGCTCCAGTTTCATCGTACCTGGTGCGTAGCGCCCAGGGCACTCGGGNCGACAGTACCTCCGTATCGGTGCTGTGTTGAGATTGTTGATCTTGAATTCAGTCTCCTTGCGTTGAAGCGGTGCGCATCCGAGTCGCAAGTACAAGCTCTTGTCTGGTCCGATGAGAATGTCCGAGGCCTCGTCGATTGTCCGCAGTCGGATGATGGCGAAGTTGAAGTTGATGATCTTGCTGGGAGCCCTGCCTCGTGCGGGCCAAGAGTAGTCTGGGTTTCGAAACTTACGTTCGATGTTGAGCCTGTGCTGCAATTGAGTCCCTGCGAATTGACATTGTAAGCGTCGAACAAAGAAAATGATGGCGCAAAATCATGTGCGCAAAAATCGGTTCTTCGCGGCAAGTCTATTTACAGAATATTCTACGCATCGAAACCTTTCAGAATCAGACGTGAATACTGTACAGTATGTCAGTCCACTCAATGGAAGGACCTTCAAATTAATTGGATGGTGTACTGTAGTCACATTTTTTTCAAAACAAAAATCAAAGACGAGATTCTCGTGGAAAAACGCGGTACGGAAGCTGTCGACTTGTCCATCAACTGCAATTCATACATTATTTTTATGCGCGAGATCTTTGAATTAGTCAAGATGAAGAAACGTGAAATTCACGCAGATGCAATACAGTAAGAAGAGTCCCCGCATGACGAAGGATTAACACAAGAAGATTCCGCATTGCGAAAATTCTTATCGGGGAAATGTTACTCGCGTGACGAAATTTGTGGCTGGAAGAAGCTCGAATATCGGGAAGTTTTGGACTAGAATAATTTTCTTATTGAAATGGAGGAAAATCATGAAATAAGGGTTAAGTCTTGCCTCACCCGAATGTTACACGATTGAATTTTAAATGCGAAAATGTATGCCACAGAGCGAGCGTAATAAAATGCAGTCATGGGCTCTTGGTTAGTTTAAGGAATGCTTAAATTAATTAAAGATTTAGCCTTTTGAAAAATCGCGTTTCGCGTTGAGGCAATCCCGCTCGACAACACGCATTCAGGAACATCAGTTTTTTTGGGGGGTCCGCTGTAACGGGGATAAATCTATTCAGGCAGGGTCATTATTTGGCGATATCTATGTTCGTGAAACGAACTGCTGTACTTCCTCTCCATCATGCGTACGGTACAGTAAAATACTGTACTGTAATTTGTGATAGGAAGAATGCACGGTGATAAGTTATTTTTATTCTCGTATAAGTCACCAGTGGATGAGTCCTGCGTTTCTAGTTAACTGAGTACAAAAAATGAATGAGTTTGCTTTTATTAACAGCGCAAAATTACCGTAGAATTACTGTATACTTGATTGTGAGTATTGGAGCGTCATCTAAAGCACGTATTACAAAGTTTTCATTGAGGTGAATTGAATGTGCATAGGTGACACTGTCGTTCATTGGGGGCTTCAGCTCCAGTTTCATCGTACCTGGTGCGTAGCGCCCAGGGCACTCGGGCTGCTCCAAATCATACTTCAGGCTACCCATGGTGCCGTTCTATGGACCTTCAATGTCACCACATCATAGGATTCGATGTGAGACCAACCAGTCCAGTGATAATGAAATTTAGCCCAAGAAAGTAAGCGAAAGGGGGGAATTTAAGACGAAATCAGACGATAGTGATTAACATTAATAAAAGCTAATGAAAGCGTAAGAAGTAAGAAGCTCTTCGGCGTCACCGGACTGTGACCGGTTTTTTCGATAATTTTTTGCGAAAGCACCCGAATTTTTTCCAATTGCAGGAAGAAACTTATTTTGTGTCTTATCTGAATGATGCTGAAGGTGGTGGTTGTTTCGTCGCTATTATTGACGTGTACAGTACATTATCTACGTGCTTCCGCGTTGTACGAAATACTGTATCTCTTTATGTGGCTCACCTAAGAAGAGGGCATGTCACTCACGACAAAGAAAAACCTCTCCTTGACAAGGTCTTTTCCGTTCAATGCCTCCCTTGAGTTCAGGATCCAGGTTTCATCCTACTGGTTCGACGTTTCCGCGTTCCTTCCGAGTTTTTTTTTTTTCGTGTTAAATTATTAACGTGTAGCACTTTTTTCATTATTGTAATATCAATTCCCTTCATGAGTTGAGGTCTTCACCTAAGTTTGTCCATGAAGCATATTGAGTGTACTGTATGTATGTACTGTATGTATGTTGAAATGTACCAGTGTTTCTAACACACAGTCTCAACCTTGGTGATGGTTGATGCTTCCAGCCCTAATGGAAGGTTTTCACTGTTCAAGGGTGAGACCGGGTAGATGTCACTGGAAACAACTGTAAACCTTGACACGTGTTTTCAAGACAGAAAAAAAAATGTTCATCGAGTTTCCAAGATTGTCAAAGTCTAAGTGGTGGAATTGATGCTGTGTAAATATATTGCTTACTGCATCACTATACAACACTTTCTTCTCTTGTGCCCTGCATAAGAACTGTACAGTACTCTCAAAAGACTTAGTTCTCACAATGTTATACAATAAAGTAAAAGGCATTCTCCTAAATCTTAGTTTTACTTGAAGGACCAGGATATAGTGTTAGCTTTATATGATTTCTCCTTAAAAACATATCCGAATTGTATACTCATTAAAAAATATTTGGGAATAGACTGATCAATGTCTGTGTTAATTTGAGTTCAGTACTTGTCCAGTACTGTGTTGTTTGCTACTCTTGAGAAAAAAGTGATTTTGTGAACCTTTTGAATGCTGAAAAGTGGCGAATAAATCTATAGTACCTCGCTCACTCAGTGTTCAATTTTGTGCTAATTGTTATGCCATGAATATCCCCTTTTTGTGCAATTTTAAGAAGATGCAAGCTTGATTAATATTTGTTCCCGTTTTTTTTTATCCAAATTGCTCGTGTTTTCGGTTAGACATTCATATTTGTTGAACCGCGAACTTGACACGTTGTTGGAAGATATTTGCGTGTGCATAACGAGTCGTGAAGGGGTTTTCTTGCCTGTCCCATGCCACTTATTACCATCGTGTGTGGGCTGTAGGAGAACGTCTTGCAGTGCATTGGTGAACGAGCATGAGCTCGTTTTTGCCCCCGTATTTTCGCAAGTGTCGTTGTTTCCGTTGAGGGAATTCCTTCATTAGGCTCCACTTATCCGTTTCTGGACGCGTGCCTCGAAATGCTTAGTCTGGAAAACGGTTGGTTTCGACTTATTTGGTCTGTGGCTGGCAGCTGAGATTTATTTTCGCTGCGTTCGCTGAATACGAGGCAACTAGTGGGTCGATCTACTCTTTTTTCTTTTTATGGTGACAGGTTCAAGATTAGTTTGTCTTTTTTGGGATGCTTGTATACAGTATTATCGTCCTAACAGAGAATGCCTGGATTTTTGATCGTTCTGCAAGAAACCGCTCCTGAAGTAGATACTTGACATTGTTTAGTCGAGGTTTTCTAGACATTTTACCTTTTATAGGTATGCTGGCGTGGAAAAAGTCGCGGAAACGTCAATAGTACCTGGACTTGTTTTTTTTTCTGTTCCGTAATAACCTGAAGTACTGTTGTTCAACTTTTTTGTTGTTGCTCCAAGTACGACTCAATTTTCCAAACAAATTCAAAATACTGTACCATAGTATCGGAAATAATAATCACGCCGAGGTGGTGACTCACGATGTAAGGATTATTTCTGGTCATTCAACTTGTTCATTTGTTCATTCAACTAAACCTCATACAGAAACAAGCTGAAGACCTTGTGCCTTAAATTAATTTTTACATATATTTTGTTACCAATGTTAGGGAATGAACGGGTGTATGCAT